CATTCCATTCCAGCTGCCTTGATCACATCCTGCAGCTATTTTTACGCTGCTTCTTTGCCAGTGGGTTTAGCTGCCAACCCCCCCACCCCCCACCCCACCCCGCTCCTCCTGGATCTCTTCCCCTGGGTTGCCATGTGAGGAAGTCGTTTGAGATCCTTGAAGATGTTATTCCTCTTTTCCGCTGCCAAATCTGGATATCTGGGCAGGCCGGCAGCTGAGTCACCCCGGGAGGTTAGATCTGATGGCCACCTGACCTCTTCCTGGTTGCAGGTCACGTGGGTTCTTACCCCCCCTCCCTCATGTTTTGCCACCCACACATTTATTTTTAAGGCGTGCAGCTCAGTCTTTGCGGCCAGCTGAGTCACAGGTCCAGGATGGTCGTGGTGGGATGCCGATCCTCTGCGTGGCTATTAATATTTGTGGACAAGAGCTTGGCTGGAGGCAGGAGGGGCAGGGGGTCTTAAAGGGCCAGGACACTGCAAGCAAGGAAAAAGTATTGGTTGGTTGATTAAATGAATGTGCCACCCATTTCCCTGAGAAATGACTCTGGCCTTTTCGCTGAGCCCAAATCACCATCAGTGTTCGTTTGTTTATATACCACTTTTACAAATAATTCAATGCAACGCCTTCCTCCTATTTCGCCCACAACAACAACCCTGTGAGGTGGGTTGGGCTGAGAGAATGGGACTGGCAGAAAGCCACCCAGCCAGCTGTCATACCTCAATGTATGAAAGGGACTAGAACTCACCGTCTCCTGGTGATTGGCCGAAAGTCACTGTTGTGACTCAGCAGAAGTTTGCTGTGAGTTGAGTCNTGATTTAAGGCAACGGTTGATGTGTTCTGTCCCAGAGAGGGCAGTGAGAAGAAGGGGGTCTTTGTGGCTTTGGGGCATAGCTGCCCAGACTTGCTTTGCAAATGAGATTGGGGGCGGGGGGCAGAGCTAATTTGGTCTAGTGGTGAAGGCACCACGCTAGAAACTGGGAGACGGTGAGTTCTAGTCCCTTCCTGGGCCTGAAAGCCAGTTGAGTGACTTCAGGCCAATCACTAGGAGAGAGAGAGAGAGAGAGAGTTCTAGTCCCTCCTTAAGTATGAAAGCTGGCTAGGTGAGTCTGGGTGAATCGCCAGGAGACGGGGAGTTCTAGTTCCCCTTTATGCATGAAAGCCGGCTGGGTGAGTTTGGGCCAGCCTTTCTCTCTCATCCCCATCCACCTCACAAGCTGGTTGTGGTGGTGGGGAAAAACAGGAGGAAGATGCAGCATTGTGTGTGTGGGTTGCCTTGAGTCACTTATAAACCAACACAAAGTAAACACACGCACACACAGAGACAGACACCCAGTGAATAAATAAATAAAACACCTTCAATTACTTAGACTTGGGTGAGTCTGAAACTTGGAAAAAGATTCGTTTCTAAGTGCTTTGGGGTGTTGAAAGCCAGACTTACCCACCCCACCCCTTTCTGTAAATTACACCGTGATTAATTGTGGGTTGTGGGTCACACTTCTGGGAATCTGACCCCAAAGAAAAGCCTAAAGTGACAGCGAGGAATGGATGCAATTAATCCGTTCTTTCGATATTCACCGTTTAGCTGGTGGGTTGTGTTTATTATCGAAATCCGGGTACCTGGAAGGCAGGGCTGGTGGCTGCCGGGTGTAAGTTACTCTTGGAGTAGCCCTTCCTTATTTCCCTCCAACTGGAGGCCAAATCAAACTTTGGATCTCTTCACACTCCCTTGTTTCTCCCTCATCTTTGAAGCCCGGTCTCCTTCAAGAAATAGAGGAGGCTGCCTGGTTTCTCAAATAAGGACCGACTCCTGTCTTGGACAAGGGGTTGGACTGGAAGACCTCTTAAGGTCCCTTCCAGCCTTATGACTCCATTTATTCATGAGAAAGTAAGGTCTTTTTTGGTAAGAGCAACTAAGATGCTCTTAGCATCTTAGGCCTGGAGACTAAAACATATGAATTGGGTTTGGCCAATCTAGAGAATAGAATAGGATGGAATGGAATAGGAATAGAATAACAGAGTTGGAAGGGACCTTGGAGGTCTTCTAGTCCGACCCCCTGCCTAGACAGGAAACCCTATACCATTTCAGAAGGACTGGGGGGGGGGGGGAACATGATTCCACTGTTTGAGGGGCTGCACCAAAGAGGAAAGGGTCAACTTACTTTCCAAAGCGCCAGAAAGAAGG